ACCCCCTCAAAGTGACAGGGCGTCAAAAAAAAAAAAAACGGGGGGGTCCTGCACAAGACCCTGGAAGGGTGGCCCGCGAAAAATCCAGCGGCCCCATTTGGCAGGTTCATCGATGCGGGGTCGCAGGGAGGAGGGTCTGGAACAGTGGAAAAATATATATATATATATATTTGACCCCTCCGGGGGTGGCCCTACGTGGGTTGGATGAGGGCCTGGTTGGGGCGGGCCGTGCGGCCAGACCGGGTCGAAGCTAGACGGGGCTGCAGATGGCACACCCCAGGCGGATCAGGGCCTCACGCACTGAAAGGTAGGCGTCGGTTTCATTAATGAGGGCGATGACAGTTCGTGGCTTATTTGAAAACAACACATTCATGGCAAATTTGGCAATCATAAGTCAGACCCTGTTTGGCATACCAATGTCAAAACACATTGAAAATCAATCACAGTGCGGCGAACCACAAGTTTCAAACAATGATAACAGGCAAGTGTGTCATAGTGTGTGTTCACTCAGGAGACTGATGGACATTCATTAGCACATCATTTATTTAAGAACACATTCATTAGCACGTCATCCCTATGTTGCATCTGAAATTAACAGCACATTCATAATGGAGGCATCCATGACATGCACGTGCGTGGCATCGGAGAAGCACATAATTTGCAACAATCACGACAACAAAGCAGAAAACAATCACCAGACAACAGCGACTTATATGCAAGACCAATGTTGGCGGAGGAACAAGAACAAGAGAAAATATATGACAAAGCATTTCAATGGAAATGCGTATGTACAAGGCTGAAGCCAAAAACTGGACCCGTAGTCTCTACTGTACAACCGAGTAGCAAAAAAAAACTGGACCCATCGTCTCGGCTACACAACAGAGTAGCAAAAAAAAACTGGACCCGTCGACGGGCGTCGTCTCTACTGTACAACCGAGTAGCAAAAAAAAAAAAAAAAAACCCTAATGTCCATATCGTCTCTAATGAAAACAGAGTACGAAAGAAAAAAAATGAAAACCCTAATGTACAACCGAGTAGGAAAAAAAAATTGGACCCATTGTCTCTGCTACACAATAGAGTAGAAAAAAAAAATTGGACCCATCGACGGACGTCGTCTCTACTGTACAACCGAGTGGCAAAAAACACCACGGACGTCGTCATCTCCCACCAGAGCGCGCGCGGCCTCTCCCGGAGGACGTGCGGCCATGCGGTCCTCCCCGGCGCCCTCCTCTCCCTCCGGCACCTGTGCCCCGTGCCCTACTGACGTATGCCGCATGTGCCGCAGCGGCCGCCGCGGCCACCTGCGCCCTGTGTCTGCATGCCGCAGTCTCGATCGGCTCGGACTCAGTGTCTGCGTCCTCGTCCTCCTCCGCATGTGCAGCAATCCCCCTCTCTCTCTCCCTCTGAATCGCGTCTAATGCTGCATGTCCAGCGGCGACCCCTGCAGCGAGTCGAGCCTCAACCTCCGAGAGGCCATGCTGTCGTCTCGTCCCGGGACGCATCGGCAACCCCTCCTCGCTCGATGTGAACTGCTCTCCCCGCAGCCTTTCCGTGGATATCCCTGCGGCCTTGAGGACCAATGTCCTCCTCGTCTCCGCTCGTGACAAACCAAGCATGCGGCCTGCCATTTGCAGGCTCGAACGTCCGGACCCATCCTCCGCACCCTGCGTCTGAACAGGCGTACGTCCCGTGAAGATGCCCCTCTCGACGTCGTGATCCGCCCGCAACCGGTCCCCGACCCGATGAACAATTGACCATCCGCCACCCACACCTCCTTGGACTGGCGGCGGGGAACCGTCACTGTGCGCAACTCCGGGTGCCACCGTCCGGTCCCCGGTGTCGACCCTGGCCTTCGAAGTCCGTGCGGGCGGTGGAGGCATCGATCCTGCACTATCTCTGTCGTCGTCGCTCCGTCTGCCGGACCCCACCTCACCCGCACCGGACTCCCTCCCTCTAACGCCGCTGAGCGACCAACCCGACCAGTGAGGGCTCTGCACTGCGAACGGCGGCGGTAAATATACCCTCCCAGGGGCCCGCTCCATGCCGGTCTTGCGGCTGACGTGTGCGAAATGGTCATCCGTCAACGCATGCGCCAAAGCGTCGGCGTCGAAGAATGTGTGGGTTGTGTCGGCAGGGTGCAACGGAGGCACTGTGGGATCCCTCAATAGCAAGGCGAGCCTATACGGATCGTCCTCGGGACCGTGGTCATCGTCATCGTCATCGTCCGGTCCATCGTCTCCACCGTCATCGTCGCCGTCCGGTCCATCGTCTCCACCGGGTCCACCCTCTCCTCTGCCGCACACTGCGGCACCCTGACCCTCATCACCCGCGGTCTCGCTGTTGCCACGGCCCCCACTAGGGGACCCACCTCCCATGACAACATCCTGCCCCTCAGGGACACCCGCGGTCTCCTCATCGTTGCGTCGTCCACCACCTGACCCACCACCCGCGGCGACATCCTGCCCCTCATAATCAAACTCCCCCTGAACCGCCTCCTTAGGGACAACCAAGTCGCCGACGTCACGGCTCCCCCCCCTCCTGTCTCCAAGTCCCTCTTGCCGACGCTGCTCGTCGAGATACGCGAACCGACCCTCCCACTGTGGCAAACTCCTCTGCCGCTCCTCCTCCTCTCAGTCCAAACGGGCATCCCTCTCCTCCTCAGTCTCAACAGGGCCCCGCTCAACGTCCGTGTCTGTGCGCACATCCTGCGGTGAGGCACGTCGACGTCCCTCGACACTCAAATCTCCCAAGCTCCCACCAAACCCTATATCCTCGAAGTCCTATGTGCAGAGCACTGACGGCGAGCGGGGCCGGATACCGGCATCGGAAGGAGTCCTCTCCCCCCCACGATCCTCGCTGTCATGTGTCCGGTCTCTACCTGCTGCCGACGCCAACCTCTCTGAACGCCTAAGTGCCTCGAGCTGTGCAGAGATCGGATGATGGGAGGGAGAGAAGCGACGATCGCGAAGGGGCACCTCCTCCTCCTCGGCCTCCCCCTCGGCCTCGATGTCGCTCCTAACCTCCCAACGCCTGCCTGTGTGCCGAAGACCTCCCCGTGGCTGCTGCTCCCCCGAGTCGTCCATGCGAACCTCCGCATGCGAACGTCCTCCAAGACCACTGCCGGCTCTGCTGCTGCCACTCGCCTGCACGGTCGACGGCACACCACCAGTGATAACTGATGTGTGTGAATCCATGCCGTCACGACCCCCACCGTAAGTGAAGTACACTCGCTCAGCCGTCGGGTCGCAACTCAGCGGCGTGTCATCATCGTCAGTCCAATCGTCGTCGATGTCGTCACCTGCCGCAGCAGCGTCCACATCATCCCCACCCTCCGGCCACAGTCGCAGCTCCGTCGCTCTGCTGCCGAACACGTCCCGAACCAAATGGGCTCTGGACGGTCGGCTGTCACGGAAAGCGACAATCTGCCGCTGGATCTCTTGCTCGAGAACACTGCCATCAGGTCGCGCTCCCCACACCTCGGGCTCCACATCTCCCTCCTCATCCTCCTCCTCTGCTGCCATCCCCCCCCGACCGGTCCCCATAACCCATGGCAACACGTAGCCACCACCCTGCCGTGCGCACGAGGCCAGTTTGAGATTGGTGGCAATCTCAACCAGTTGTGCAAGCTTGGCGAACACAAGCTTGCAGCGCCTCGCCGTGCTGACGCGCTCGTGCTCCACCCAGTTCCTCTCCGCTGGAGAGGCAGACGTCCACAAGTGCATGACACGGATGGCGATGGTGCGCAACTCCGGGTGGGCACGTCCATGCTCGAACCACCACGCTGCACATCGCTCGGTCTCACTATCCCCCCTGCAATCGGCCGCCTCGGCATTGGAGAGGTCACGATCTCCCCAATCCCCTCGCCTCGAGTGGAACGCCCTCATCTGGTCCCTCACGGTCCTATACAATAAGCCGACCGGATCGCCGCCGGTCTACGCCAGGAGAAATCTGTCGCACTCCTCGACCACACGGCGGTCGTCGGCGTTCGTCTCCAGCGAATGGTAATACGTGAGGGACCGTCGACGAGGGTTCAGGAGGTGGGCCGCGGCATGTGCGGGCTCTAGCATGTGGAGGTTGCGGATGGCAACCTCACGCACGCACGGCTCGATCGTGTCCGTCGGCACGTCGACCCTGCTCATCAACTGTAGCAGATGCTAACTCCACTCGTAAACGACGGACATCATCATCCCACCTCTATCCATCGTGCGCAGTAGCTGGTGGACGGGCGACATGACTAGGATGGCGTAATGGACACGCTGCCAAAACTCCCTGTCCCGGATCTGCTGCTGCACCCACTACGCCTGAGATACGTGGGCACGATCCCACGGGATGCGTGCCCAAGCATCCCCATGCAACATGCTCTCCAACGCGTCTTGTCGGCCTTTGAGACACGTCAGCATCAGGAAAACCGATGCAAACCGTGTCTCAACGGGCTCGACGAGCTGAACGCGAGGGCTCACCTTCCTAAACAGGGTGTGAGCAGCGCCATGCGATTTAATAAATCGCACAAGCGCTCGAGCGTGGATGATGGTCTCCTTGACCCACACCACTCGCGACCCGATATCTGACAACATCAAGTTGTAGACATGGGTGGAGCAGGGGAGCCAAGTGATCCTCCTGATCTGAGGCTTGGGGTCTGTGGCGAATCTGCGCGCTGTCGCCGTATAGTTACTGGTGGAGTCTGTGCAGAAGCCGATCACGTCCTTAAGGACAAGATGATGGCCCGCCACCTACGATACACGACGTCCGCCATGTCTCGGACCGACCCGTCACGTGCGACGGTGGCGTACAGCAGGGCGCCATTGGCGCCCCCAGCGACGAAGTTCACGAGCGGCTTGCCGCTGCGCGATTTCCTCCCGTCAGAAAGGATAGTGGCACCGCTGTGCCAGAAAGTGGCGCGCACCTCGCTCACCATCGTCGCCACCTTCGCCCTCTGCGAAGGGATACCGGCGCCCGCTGTAACCCTGTAGGAGGGAAACCGGAACTGGATAGAGCGAGGCACTCTTTTTGCTGCCTATCGCTGCCTCTAGAACTCCGCACCACTGAAGGCGTTGAATGGCAACTTCTTCACGTAGATCCTTTGAAGCCACACGTTTGTGAACTCGGCCAAATTCTCCCTTGCATACATCTCGTCAATCGTGGTCTGCCGAGCCCTCTTCTCCCTGCCCGTGTCTGGCACCTCAATGCCAGCCTGCCCCATTGTCCTCTTCTCCCTCCTCGCGCGCTCCACCTCAGCTCGCGGCGCCCTAGTACCAGGACCCGCTCCACCGACGCCTCTCGACGTCATCACCACCTCCTCCCCTGGCAGGTTAGGCTCTCTGACTGCCTCGTCTGCCTCGTCTGCAACCGCCCCCTCCCTAGCCCCACCCTCGCGGCCCTCCTCCTCATCGAGGGCGTCCTGAATGTCGTCCCTCTCTGCGTCGTCCATCCGCTGTCTCTGGCCACCCGCGGGCGCTCTCGTGTCCCGTATGCCCTCGTCTTCCATCCACCTCTGCACCCGCTGAGCAGTGGACGACACAAATGTGTAGTCCGTGTCGTTCCAGAGTTCCATGAGAACTCTCATCCCCCCAGCCTTGCAGAACTTTGACTGCGTAAAATGACGCGCGGCCTTCGACGACCCCCCCTGAAACAGGTGGCCGCATAAGTTGCAACGCAACTTTCGCTCCCCGTGCATCTTGGACTGGTCCCCGACGTACTGGCCCGCGGTGACGAAGTTCCAAACAATGTTCCCTCGCCTCAACTTCACCATCTCCTTCTCGGACAGAGGGTTGAATTGGGCACCCCCAGACCCCCCCGCACCTCTGCTCCCTGCACCCCCCGTCATCGCCCCCCCACCAGGATCCAACAAGTCGTGGCCTCGATCTTGGATGCCGTCTGACCGTGCCGCACCGTCGATGTTGCGTCCTCTCGATGTAGTCGCACCCTGACGTCCCCCCCGCTCCTGCCACCGTGTCCCCCCGAGGTCCCTCCAGGCCACGGTCCACCAGCACACCGGCCGGCCGCCCAACAGCGCGCAACCGAGGCGGGCAGCTCTGCGCGGCCGCGATCGGCCACGATCGGCCTTGATCGGACGCGTTCGGCCGGGTTCGGCCGCGGCCGGGCACTAAAAATGCCACGCGCTTGTAGAAGACGCGCGCGGCGATGGCGACGACCTTACGGCGGCCACTGGGCAGCGCGGGGCCGCTGGCCCACGTGCTCGCGCGGCGCGCGCCGCTGCAGGATGCCATGGAAGATAAAGAAGAAGAGGAAGAAGAGGAAGAAGAAGAAGAAGAAGAAGAAGAAGAAGAAGAAGAAGAAGAAGAAGAAGAAGAAGAAGAAGATCTCTCTCTCTCTCTCTCTCTCTCTCTC